TAATCATATAATATATGTTATGCACTATTAATAATTGAAAAAAAAGTTAAATTGCAAGATTTTTTTTTAATGGTATACTACCACCTTAATTGACAACATAATAACAACCGATATTTTTAATGAATCTCTTAAAATAGGTATAATTAAAAGTGACGTTTTGGATCATTTCCCTATTTTTTTCTCTATTAGCATTTTAAAAAATAATAAAAAAGCAACAAAAAGTATTTTACAAGCGCTCTTTCAATGATAAAAATATAACATCATTTAAAGATCAGCTCTCTTTGATAAATTGGAAACATGTAAACAGTTCATTCGAAGTAAATATAATGTATGACAGATTCTTTCAAAACTTTTATAAAATTTACGATGTAAATTTTTCAAAACATCAATTTATAAAAACCGATAAAAGTTTCAAGTCACCTTGGGTCAATACAGATCTTGAAAAATCCACAAAAAAAAGCAATAACTGTATATAAAATACTTAAAAAACTAACACCTGAAAATAAATTAATTTATAAAAATTACACAAAACTATTTGAAAACCAAAGAAAAAAGGCAAAAAAAACATATTACTGCGATTTACTAGAGAAGCATAAATCTAGTTCAAGCGTACGTGGCAAGTTATAAGTCAAATTACTGGTAAAAACTTATTAAAAACGTGGTCTATACTCAACACTATAAAAATAGATGGTGTATTTTTACATGAACCTAATTAAATAGCGAGCGAGCTAAATTAGTTTTTTTGTATATGTTGGACCAAATTTAGCTAAAAACATTCTTACTATCATAAATCCAATAAATGATTACGCTTTTCCATTAATTTCTAAATTAAATAAATTTGAAGTAACTTTTTCATAATTTGAAAATGCATTTAAAATGCTGAAAACTAACAAAGCAGTTGGTCCTGATGACATAAATTGTAACATATTTATAGATTCATACGACGAAGAAAAAGTATAATCTTTTCAAAATTTTCAAAGTTTCAATTAATCAAGGAATTTTTCCAGACCAATTAAAAATTGGCAAAATTACACCAGTATTTAAAGGTAGTGAACCTTCAAATCTCATTAATTATTGTCCAATATCTGTCCTCTCGGTTTTTTCAAAAATTTTAGAGTAAATTTTGTTTAACCAAATATACAATCATCTGACTATTAATAATATACTTTACATGAACCAATACGGCTTCAAGAAAAAAACAACTCTACAGAACATGCAATAATTTATCTCACTCGAAGCATAACTGAATCATTTGAAAAATCAGAATTTATTTTGGGCGTTTTTATAGACTTATCCAAAGCGTTTGACACAATTGACCATGAAATACTTTTTACAAAACTTAAATATTATGGTATTACAGGAAAAGCTTTACTGTTACTTAAAAGTTACCTAAAAAATCGCAAATAATATGTCCACGTCGAAAGATCTTCTTTACCTTACTTTCTAAATATAATCTATGGAGTTCGACAAGGATCTACAAGGATTATTTCTAATTTATGTAAATGATCTCTATAAAGCCTCAAAATTAACAACAATTATGTTTGCTGATGATACTAACCTCTTCTTATCATGTAATAATATCAATAAACTTTTTAATGATATGAATATTGAGTTAACAAAAATCTATAATTGGTTCAAATCAAAAAAACTATCGCTCAATATTGAAAAAAATAAATGAGGAGCCCATCTGCAAAACACGCCAAGTCACAAAAATAAAAATTTTGAGTTAATTCTATTTCCACGTTCTATATATTTAAATCTATCATCTATTTAAATATTGGACCAATTAAAAAATTTTTGGTACTAAAAATGGACAAAGAAAATATCAATTTCTGCTGATGCACAACTAAAAGTAGTTTACTTTTTTGTTGTTTTTTCAAAATCAGTTTACTCAGACTTAGTGCGTTTTCCTCAAATGGACTCTCTTCTATCCAGCATTTAAAAAACGTTTACTCCCAAGTGATATGCCTATACTTTATATTAATACTATTCAAATAAAAAAAAAGTAACGTCTACAAACTTTTTAGGTATTATTGTAGATAAAAGTCTATCTTGGAAAAATCACATCAGAAACCTATGTAGTAAAATTATAAAAAGTATCGGAGTCTTGTATAAAGTAAGAAGCGTTTTAAATAAATATCTACTAATTCAACTTTATTACTCTTATACATTGTCACATTAATTATGCTAATATTGCGTGGGGAAGCGCTTACAAAAGTAATTTAAAACCACTTTATTGTCAACAGAAGCTCATTGCACGGCTTATAAATTTCAAAGATCGGCTTACTCACTCAAAGCCTCTCTTAATTAATACGAATATTCTTAAAATATATCAAGTAAATGTTTTTAATGTTTTTTGTTCAAGTGTAAAACCAACTCTTCTCCAACCCCCTTTTCTTGATTTATATTCTTTAAAAGAAAAAAATATATATTCTTTAAGAAGTCATTATTCAATAAAACAGCCAATTATCCAAACTAACTTTAGTAAAACCTGTATTTCATTTCGCGGAGCTTTCTTATAGAACAATATTGTGTTCAAAAATTTTGATTTTTCTCATGAGTGGAGTTATTTTTTATTTAAGAGAAAACTTGAAGAAATAAATTTTTCAATTGCTAATAAACTTTTAAATTATACTTAGCTCTTAAATACCTAAATATTGATTTTATTTATTCAATATTAATTTAAATTTACTATTTATAAACATTTATTTGAATATAATTGAAGGTTGCATTGACTACGATGTTTGGTTTATATATATATTTTATTTTTTTACGCTATTATACTTAGTATAATAGCGTAAATAAAATGAAATATAATTTAATAAAATAAATTTAATAAAATAATCAGTATAATTTATACTGAACGACTTAAAATGTAAATACAATTGCTGCGATGGTTTTTGATCTTTATTTAAACTTGTATTATTAACCACGTATATATATTTCTTATTTGTATAAAAAAAAAAAAAAAAAGTATACGTATGCGTACGTGTGTATGTATGTGTATGTATATATATATATATATATATATATATATATATATATATATATATATATATATATATATATATATATATATATATGTGTGTGTTTATGTGTATATGTATTTATATACATATGTGTATGTGTGTATATGTATGAATGTGTGTGTTTGCATGCATGTATGTATGCATAAATGTATGTATGTATGTATGTATGTATGTATGTATGTATGTATGTATGTATGTATGTATGTATGTATGTATGTATGTATGTATGTATGTATGTATGTATGTATGTATGTATATATGTATGTATGTATGTATATATGTATGTATGCAGGGCCGGCGCGAGTAGGTGTCACGTGGGAGGGGGGTACTATTACAACTTTTGCCGAATAAAAAAAAAAAGGTCCTTGTTTTCCAAAATTTACCGACTACCACGACGACATTTGCCGACTGTCTAACCTATATCGAAAGGGTCGACATTTGCCGACTAACTAGTCTAAAAGGGTCCAATTTGCCGACTAAGGGTCCAGTTTGCCGACTAAAAACCATTGATGGGGGAGGGGGAGAGGGGTGGCACACACCCCTATTGCGCCGGCTTTGTATGTATGTATGTATGTATCTGGATATGTGAACGTGTATATGTGTGTATGTGTATATATGTGTGCGTTTTTATGTGTATGTGCATATTCATAAACCTTTATACCAGAAGAGTAGTATTGTACAGATGTATCACAAAAGAGTTAACATTATTACAGACGAAGAAAGAACATGAAATTACATTACAAGTATTTGATCAATATTTATCAATACAATAAAGATCAAGATCAATATTTATCAATACAATAAAGATCAATACTATAAAACTATAAAAAAAGTAACATCCTAATTATTTATACTTTATTGTTGACCTTGTGCATATACTTTAAAGGAAAAAAACAAACATGCAACTTATGGAGAAATTAGTCGTAGATATAGAAAATGAAATAGAAAAACTCAATTGAAATATCAACTAATAATCATTTAAAGAATATTACTTGACCATATATTTTGATTTTGAGAAAGTGAAATTTATCTAAAAATCCCAAATAAAAGTTGCTTGAGACAATCGTTTGGAAGGCTGTGTAGTTTCGTTGCAAGCACCTTTAAGCAAATAACTTAAAACTATAACGAAAGAAATGTCTAAGTTTCAACATCGGTTTTCTGTGACAAGGCCTTAAGGTCTTCTTAGAGTGTCCGCGTTCTTTATATTTATCCTTAACTTTTCCAAGTGTATTTTTTCTCTTTTATATTAGTATCTTAAACGTTTGTATTTTAAATCATGTAATGAAAAAGAAGAAAAAAAAAAGAGATTAAAAGCGTTAGTTTTTTCTCTTTTTTTATTTTTAGATAAAAGATTTGTTTCTATTGACTTGTATTTTTGAATATTGACATTAGTAATGTAATGTCATTACACTACAACATAATACAAAATAAACAGAAAACAATTATAAACAAAAATTACTAAAGTGAATAACAAAGTAAGTAACTTATACTTTTTTTTTAAATTGTCTTTTGATAATTTAGTTTTGAAATTTTGAAAAAGCTCCAATGACTTGAACAGAAGTAAATAGATCAATTTTACTGTAAATCCTGTGGTATCAAATTTATTTGTTTATGTATACTTTCAGTTAACGGTGAAATTTATTTGTCAAATCGTTAAAGTTAACCGTGCAAAGCAATCATTGAAGTTTACTTTTTTTATAATAACTCTTTAATGATAATCTATAAGAAAGGCAGAGAACAAATTTTCGTTACTCGATCAGTTAAAATTTCATACTTTGTTAAATACTTTGTTAAACAGAATTTCATACTTTGTTAAATACTTTGTTAAACCAGTTTATCGTTTTAAAAGCTGTAGCACTTTTAAATTGTTTTTTTTCCGCTAGGCAAATTTTGTTTTTTTCTTTTTATTCTTTTAATTATTTATTTATTTTAATAAAAGTGCTATTCATCTATTTTACGTTTCGCATACATTTTACATGTTTTATTTAAGGCATTAAAGAATGAATTCAACTTTTTATATTGCACCACCTGGCTTAAAGAATGATTTAGGCAAAGGTTATAAAACAAATGAGCGAGTGTATTCCCAAGAGGATGTATTCAGCAAACGTCAATCGTTAAATCGACAATTTGATAATTTTGAGCATGAAAATCGTGGTTTCTTAGAAGTTTTTTTAAATAGAAATAGCTTAAATTTCGAAAAGCAAAGTAACTTTTTGAATTACGCATTTAAACGAGCAGAAACGTATAGAATGATAAAAACTGAAGAATTTAAAGAAACTGAACATTTGCAAGATAAATTAAAAAATGGAAATTTTAAAGAGAATAGTGAACACATCGAAAGTGTTGACTCAAAGAAGCCAGAATCCAATTTGAAAAAGAAAGATTTATGTAACAAAATATCTTCAACAATAACTCGTTTGGGTGCAGTTATTTGCGCCTTTTATGTGAATCGACCTAAGTTAGCTTTCAGTAAGTTTGCGTTTTAGTAATCTTATCGAAGCGGCGTTTATTCATTTAGTTAAAGCGTTTTTTTATTTTATTTTAAAAAGTTAATGTTTGTTTAACGACGACTATGGCTCAAATATAAACTTAAAACCAAAATTAAAATTAATAGTAAAAAGTCTTAAATTATTTAATAAAAAGGATAAGTTTATCTAATTTGAAGCCACATAATAATAATAATAAAGAGTAAAATAAAACAAAATAAAGATTCTATTAGTTTAATTTTTTTTTTACATTCTTCCTAAGACACACCACACAATTTTTTTATCTAGCTTGATTAACAGTTTGGATTTTTTTGTAGGAATTTTGGTTTTAAATTTAGAAATCTTAGATTTAGTCTTGGATTTAGTTATTCTTAGTTAATCTTTGATTGATTGAAACTTGGTCTTACCTGACTGTTTTAGACTTCTAAAATTTTCAGGTTTTAGAAGTCTTGAAAATTTTTTTCAATATCTTTAGGATATTAAGTTCTATTAATTACTAAAAAAAATAATTTATAAAGATTGCTTATAATTGTTGCGGATTATTAATGTTATATATCATAAAAAAAAATTAAAAAAAATTTAAAGGGAAAACAATATAAAGCTGTTTGAGATATTAATGTTTGGAGTTCGCTCCATGCGTTGAAGTTAGTTATCTTAAACATCAAAGTCTGCTGCTTCTGCTCCTCCATTGTTATTTGGGTTGTTTATAGTTAATTAAAAACATTGTTCTAAATTTTCAAATCCTTTGTTGCTATATTTTAAAACAGTTTTTATTTCATTAGAATATTTCTTAAGGCTAAAATAAAGATAATAAATTTTCTTTTATGGAAAATGATTATATTAGCTAACCTAATAAATTTCCTTTTTATTGACTGCATTATCTTAAAAGATCTCTTGATGGTTATATATATTTTTGTTAAATAAAAACCCTTTTTTTAATCTTTGAATTTTTTGTAAAGAGTCTTATTTTTAAAATCAGTACTGCAAAGTGATCCAGTTATGACTAAACAAGCTATTTAATCAACAGTTGCAAATCTATGATTTACTATTTTGAGTGACCTTGTTTTTTGTTTTGTTTGTGGCTAATTCAAATTACTTTTTATATGATATTTTAGACAATCCATATAACACCTTATACACTTTTATTTAATCAGATCTGTTTTTTCTTTCCTTAAGTATCAAAAGACCTAGTTTTAGTATTCTGTCAGTTTATCATGAATATTGTTAGCAATAGTGTAAATTCTTATACACTGGTAAGATATTTTAAAATTATCTTTTATCACAAACTGAAGATCTTTTTCAGCCTCAGTTTCTTCTTAAGTAAACCCAATAATATTGTATTCACAACCAAAATTCTTATTTGCAAATAAATAAGCATTTGTCTTTTAATATTTTGATATTGTTAGCAAATTTCAATATATAGTTCTTCGCACTTGTGTCAAGATTAATAATATAACTCATAAGAAAGAAACCAATACTGACCTTGGTGGTATGTCACTCTCTTAAAAGTAGAATTTCTTCTATTCAAAACTACAAATAACTTTAATATTTGCAAATAAACATCTTAGCATAAAATGATTTAGGATGTTTAATATTTTGGGCCAACTTATATTCAAAGTATATCTTTGTTTTTACTACTTTATACTTTTGTATAAAATAAAAAAAGAGTAATCGATATAGGCTAGGGTTAATAAATTTTAGTTCAAAGATTAAAGATAGACACAAAAACCTCTAGCAACAACAAAAAAATTGTTTATTGGATTTGATTAAAAAGTTTTTGAAACAGGGACAATTAAAGTTTTTCACATGAGAATTCTTATAATACTTTTATGGAAAAGTTTTTAAAATATTAAAAATCAAGAAAAATTTTCAAAATCATTAAAAATTTTAAATGCCATTAAAATCAGTCTTTCCAATTGCAGTACATGTATCAGTTATAATTGACTTCACTTTTTTTTTCTCAAACCTAAATTTATAAAAAGTCGTAAATGGTATATCTACTCAAGATAGGAGGAGCAAAATTCATTTCCGTAGGTGTTTTTAAAAAAATTAAAGGTACCTTAGTTGAATTATTTAAATTGGAACAATATTTTTATTAATAGTAATTATTTCATTATTTCTTTAAATCTTTTGACACTTTAAAGTTTTTATTTTTGTGATGATTTTTATTACAAAAAGTTTATAATTTGACAGGGATTAGAGAACAGCTAAAAAACACATTCACACAAAACGTGAAACAAAAGCTTATTGCTGTTTAGTTTATTCAAACATAGCTACTGAGAACATTACAATGTTTGCACTTTCTAGTTCCTAGTTTACATATTTTGTAGTCCATGCTTTATAAACTTATTTCTATATTTTCTGTTTACAAAATAAAGTTGTTTGAGCCTATGGTTTATATTTGTGTTTTATTTTTTTCAATATGTTTTATTATATTATATTGTATAATAATTTTATGTTATAGCTTCACATTTAGTTTTTTTTTTTTCAGCTGTTGGTTTATGTATTCAAATTTCTTTGGTGTTTACTACTGCTGGTCTATACATTTTTGATTATGATATATTTCCTTATGATTTTACGCAAGTACCTTTAAACCTTGAAATGGATTCAACAAAACTTCGTGCTGATGCATTCAACTTTGTTGTAGAAGATGGTCGCATAAACTTGCAGCCAGTGACTGCAATTTCTCAGGGAGAAAGAAATATAAAAGCAGCACCATTAGAACTTGTTTACAGGTGTAAGGATTTAAAAAAAAATGTCATTACAGCAAAAAACTTAAAATCTATAACAGAGCTTGAGAAAGAGTTGTTTTTAAACCCAATGTATCAAAGAGTTTGCCATTTAATGAACTTGAACAACTCCATGGTTTGCTCTCCTCCAATGTCCCTGATACATTTGTTTGATGGAACATATCGTTCAATTGATCCAGTGTTTTATGATCCTGATTTTAAAAACATTACTTCTGTTCTTAATTTAGCCAAAAATATAAGTGAATTAAGACCACTTCTTGCATTTAGCTTTGATAAAAACTCAGTTTTGGAAAATAATAGAATTTTTTCAACTCATTTGCGTTCACTTTTGTTTGCTGGTCTTCCTTTGCATGGTTATAGGCATGCAGAAGATAGAAAAAATGAACAACTTCTTTCATTAAAAAAATATATTGTAGAAGGTTTTGGTAAGTTACTTGCTGATAGATATAAGTCTGGAGTTGGTGAACTTAATGTGTTTTATATGAACTTAGAATTATTTTTCAATGCTGTAGAGAAGCAGGTTATCTGGGACCTTCTTTTAGCAGGAGGAAGTTTAGTTTTTATATTTTGTTTTATTTGGTTTCAGACAGGATCTCTCTGGATTACAGGATGGGCTATTTTTAGCATAATAACTAATTTTTTCGGTGCAAACTTGATTTACCGAATTATTTTGGATTTTAGATACATAGGCATATTTCATGTTCTATCAGTGTTTATTATATTGGGTATTGGAGCTGATGATGTTTTTGTATTCTATAACACTTGGAAACTCATGGAAAATGAAAAGTTCAATTGTTTACAAAAACATCTTACAGAAACATTTAGAATTGCTTCTGGTGCAATGTTTGTGACATCGTTGACTACAGCTGTTGCATTTTTTGCTAGTGCAACATCTCCACTACTGGGAGTATCTTCATTTGGTGTGTTTTCAGGTATAAATATTTTATTATGTAAATTATATAACATAGTATTGAACTTTTAACAACATATATCAGGGTTGGCATCTAAATACCTATCCAATCCAAAAAATATATTTTACTTTATTTAACTCTTATATAGGTTGCCAGATGTCGCTTTTACGTTGGAGAGTACAGTGACAAAGCTATTAAAATAAAGATTTTTACTGTGTTCTTCTTCGTAAAAGTCGAACATCTGGCAATACTACTCTAACATCCTTATATAGTCTATTTTATTAGTTAAAACAATACATACAAAAATATGCTAAAAATAAAAAAATTTGAAATCAGAAAGTTTATTAAATTTTTATGTATTATTATGGGTGCTTACCCTGATATACACATTGTTGATCTTAAATAATTTTTGATAATTTTTAATTTTGAAAAAGATCTCTTGGCACTAGCTACTGTTATTGGTAATGTAAAAAGAATTCTCAATGCAATAGATACATTTGCATAGATTTCATTCAAACCGTTTGCGTACAAATATTTTATAGCTCAGGATCCAAATTTTCAGTAAAATGAGAAGAAAGAGACATTAGTTTAAAACTTAGTTCCTCGCCAGAAATATCATTTTTTCTTTTTTCAGTTTTTTTTAAGTTTTTTTTCCAACGCAATGCAATGAGATTTTAAATCATCTTCCTTGACTGTTGAGAGCTTTTTAATATCAAATAAAAAGCTAAAAGGTGCGATTCCAGCATTAAAATGTTTATATCTATCTGCTATTGCAATAGTAGCACGTTCAAATATTTTATTAAAAACATCTTGTTTATTCTTTTCTTTTGGACATAACTGTTTTTCAAAGTTTTGTTTAGGTTCATTAAAGAATCTCTTTCTTTTTCTTACTCTTGAAGTAGATTCTGCTGCAAAACTTTCTTTTACCTTTAAAAAAGAAGCAAGTTCTTTTGCAATACACACAACAGAGTCAAATTTTTCCTGTTTATAATTTTCCTTAAAAAAATTAATCGCTCTTTCGATTGCTTTTCAAGCCTCTAAAATATTGGTTGAAGCTGACTGAAGTTGTTTGCTGGTTAAATTGATTTTTGAATAAAACTTTATGCCAAATTACAATCGAACACAAAAAATCGAAGCTTGTTATTTTTAAAGCAATAGGCTCTGCTGTGATTTTTTTAATTGTTTCATTAGCGGTCTTGGCCGTATCTTGCAGCGCTTCATAAATTTTTAGCTTTTCAAATTGAATTGTTTTTACAGCATTGATGTGGCTTTCCCATCTTGTATAACTTAACGGTTTAACTGTTAAAGATGGACACTGATTGCAAAATTAACCATCTTTTTGTTAAAGCAGAAAAAAAATTGTAAACTTGATCAGTTATATTGAAAAACATAGCAATTTTGGGTGAACATCTCACAGAATCAAAAACTACCAGATTTAATGTGTGACTGCAGCATGGAATATAAACTGCTTGGCTGTTTTTTTTAGAATAAAAGCCTGTACACTATTTCTTATGCCTTTCATATTTGCACCATTGTCATAGCTCTGACCTCTTATTTTTCCACTGACAAGCTATTTTTTCCCAGAGAGTCAATAATCTCATTTGATAAATCTAGTCCTGTTGAACCTTCAATTAAATGTGAATTTTGTTCTTATCCTCATATCAACATATCAAACCAGCATTGAGATTTGCTCCTGGTGACTGATATCTGGTGTACAATCAACAATAATTGAAAAATACACGGACTTTTGGACATAAAGCAAATTTTAAATTCAATGGATTTGCCAATCAAGTCAATGATTTCATTCTAAATATCTTTTGCCAAATAGTGCACAGAATTTGTTTTTTTTTGCTCTCAACAAATGTTTTTCCATAACTGGATCAAATTCAGCAAAAATTTCTAAAATTTTTAAAAAGTTTCCATTATTATCATGATTGACTTTGTCACAAGAGCCTCTGAGTGGCATATTTTGCTTTGCCATCATAAAAGTTAGAGAAATTAATCTTCTCATTATGTTGTCCCAATGTTCTACTTCCTACAATGTTCTACTTAAGTTTTTATCCAAATTTTAAATATGAAAATCATCTGTTGTACCCGCCTTTCGCAAGGCCTTCATATATGTACATATAAAAAAATTACATGTTAGAAAGTTATGCGGATGCCACTAATGGTCCACTATGTAACCAATGAGCAGAACTCTAATGAGCTGCTCAAAATTTCAAAATAGGTCCGCTGCAAATTTACTACAAAATGTTTGCTGGGTGGGTGGGTGTGAATGTATGTGCATTTATATACACGCACTAGTAAACAACCAGGGTTGGTATTTGACTGGGGTCAGGTTTGTGATCGGGGTTGCATAAACCTTCATACATTCTAAAGTATATTTCTTTTATTCAAAATTCATGTTATATTTTGTATATATATGCATCTATAAACATCATTATGATCAACATGATCATCATAATCATCATTTGCATCGTCGTCATCATCATCATAATCATCTCTTTCTGCAAATACTACACCATATAAATACTAAAGTTTATTTAAATAAGAAAGCATATTGTATGCCAGCATCTAAATAAATTGCAAACATATATGTTTATGTCCATAATATGTATGCATAAAGTGCATTTCAGAAGCTCTTATTCCTTCTGGATTCAAAGTTAGGAAACTTTTATTCCTACTCTTAAATTTAAATCAAACCTCATTCTACTCCATATTTTTCTTTTTCATATCTTGAGCAGTTGCTTTATTAATCATTTATTTCCTCTTTTTTACAAAAACATCTGTCTTAAGAACAAATGTCTTTTTATTATTCCAAGAAGCTAATGTAAAAAGGTTCTGTCTGATGTTAAGCTCTGTTATACTCAGTTTACTAAATCTTGTATCTTATATCAGATGTTAGCTTCAGAGACTTTTGGTTAGTCTTTAACAATGTTATTAAATAAAGTAAGTCTAACATTTAATCTTATTAATTATATATTATTTAATAATATTTAATTTTTTAAAAGTGGCATATAAATGGTTCCATTTTTTCAAAACTCTAGGAAACACTTTGAACCTCTCCAACTATCCTACGATAAGTCTTCACTCTGTTAATTGTTTCTTGATATAAAGGTTTTGAGATTATTGAATTATTTTTTACTAAATGCAGTAGTAAAGTTATTCTTAAAATTAACATAAAAAATATAATAATAGTAAATTAGACCTGCTTTATCCGTAAGCTTAAGCCACTCTTTCATTGTTGTAAGGTTGCATTTCTTTCTTTTTTCTACAAATACAATCATGGTACCCCCTTGTTTCGGCAGAAAATTGGCGTTATTTTCGCAAAAAATACAACATTTGCTGTAACAACATAGAAAAATGTTTTTAAAAAAATGGTCCTCAAATTTTAATTTTAGCGGCGCCCAAATACAGTCAACGCTGTCAAAAACGGTCTAGAATAGCCCCTGCAAGCTATCATCTCTATTAAGATAAACCAAAACTCATTCTTGCTTGTTTAGATTAATTTTATTTAAGCAAAAATTTATAATATATAAAGTATTACAAATTTTTTTTTTATTGTGTCACTTACTAATGCACACATGCAGCAAACATTTTTGTAGTTACTTTGCTCTTTGGTTACTTTGTAACACTGACTAACACTTTAGTTACTTTGTAATACTGTAGTTTTGGTTACTTGGAAACTATTAGTGGCAGGCGTGAATAATTGTTTTCAAAGTAACCACAGTGAACCCCCAAAATGTCACATATTTTTCTACTGAAATTCCGCTATAGAATGTTTACTGGGTATATATACACAAACTATGTGGAAAATAACCGCCTGAAATGATTAAAAATGTTATTTTGACCTCCCAAAATGATTTCTTGCCAGTCATGGTTGACCGATTGAAAAAAAAAAATCAGAGATTTATAAGCAAGTTTTGAAATAATCAAGATATTATTTGGAAAATTCATTTGCTAAAATTTTGTAAAATTATTTTTGAAAAAGCGTTTAAAATAGTTTACTTGTTAATGAACATCACTTTGATCACTAGCAGGTCGTTAAAGTGAAAAGTTTGAAAACGAAAAGATCTTTAATCCTTTTATTTTTTAATACTGCCTGGTTTTTATCTTTGTTTTGAAAATGTTCCAATAATTTTATTTTTTATCAATATAATTCAATAATTTTAAAATTAAGACTTAATAATAATTTATATCAATATAATTCAATAATTAAAAATTAATAACTTATTAATAATTTTATATTATTAATTCTGTTACTTATAATATTAGTATTAAATTGTATTTGTTATATTAATTACAATTACAATTAAAGTTACACGGTGCAGATATGAACCGTAAGTTCATCATTAGCTAGCAAACTAGCTCGTATAGCTGCGATAATACAGCTACGGAAAATGATGCACTGTGGTAACTATGTGAGTTGCTGGTCTAGTTTTTTTTTTGAAACTGTCAATAGTAGAGGCATTGACAACATCATTTGGCAGAGCATTCCAAGTATTTGCAATCCGATTGTTGAAAAAGTTAAGTCGAATGAGGCAGTTGCTATTAATTTCGAGATGAAAGCGTTTGCGATGATCATAGATGGGAGGAATGTATATTGGGTCAATATGCCAGTTGATTAATTCAGTTTTATTTTCAATTTTAAATTTTTGGATAAGGTCACCACATTTTCTTCTGTCACTTAGTGAAGTTAGTTCAAGAATATCACATCTTGTTTTGTAATCAAGGTGCTTTAATTCATGAGGTATTTTTGTGGCACAATGTTGTATTTGTTCAATTTTAGTAATGTCTTTTTTAAGGTGAGGGCACTAGGTGGTGATAGCATATTCTAGATGTGGGCGTATGTATGTTGTATAGAGATTTTTCCAGACTTTTACATCTTTGCTAACAAAGGTGTGCTTCAACATACCTAAGATTTTGTTAGCTTTATCAGCTGTGATGAACACTTGACTTTTGTATTTTAGATTAACAGATAGTTGAACACCAAGGTCTTTTTCCAATGTTGTTGTTTCTAG